TCTTGCATGATAAACTTTAAAAATCTATAACTCGAGCTATCTACTATTTACTCAAGAAATATCCATATAAATCATAATTTCCCAGGTTTTTCATATCATAGTAAAAATCGAAAGAAAACATCATATAATTAACATGCATTCGAGCTGGGACCTTAAAAACTGCATATCTAAGGCATGTAAATACATTATTATACATTTAGTATCATCTAAAAGTGAATCCTAAAGATATGGCACCTTACATCCTTTAAGAAAACGAGAATGAAAGAAATTAAAGAGGTGCTGCTCTACTCCTTCTCTCCCTCTCTCGCGCGGCTGTGGACTTTGAGGGCTTCTCTCGGTTTTCTAACTTTGGGTGAGAGTTTACTTGGATATGATGAATATCTAAGACTAACACTCAGCTGAGAAGAAGACTTATTAAGGAATACTCATGTGTGAATACAACTAATCACAAGAAAGGGTCAACTCTTGCCTCATCTCTCTCCTCATGCGCATGTGAAGTGGTTGAGGTGAAATGAATTGTCTTGAGAGCATGATTCTCGACCATGTGGTGTATTAAATGAACAAGAAGATGCTCTTGGTCGACATCACATGAGGAATTCACTTTAGATTGGTCATCATGTAGTAAGATGAGACAAATTCTTACACCTTCTCATTAAGATATTACTCTAGATCTTGCACATGCATCACTTAATTCACATGTGTAGTTGACTTTGGTTTGTCTTGAACCATTTTACACGACAAGATGGGAGGTTATCTGGACAAAAGCATCTTGTAGAGCATCTCATGAGATAAGGAACGTGGTTTATTCAACCATTTGTTGAGACAAGGACAAAATCTCTTACACATGCATTATTATAATACTTAGCAAATGTCTCCCTAGATGTCTAAGTTTGATTGACTTCCTTACACCTTCACATAGACTAAATTAGCTCACATGACTCTAAATACACCTGATTTCATTCGTATGGGCTTGGATTTGAGAGAAAAGAACCATTGGTTAGAGAAATGTGAGTGGCTCGGTGATTATTACCCCCTGCAATAAATTTTGCAATGTGAAGCTACAAGTTTTCTCTTGGCTTGGACAAAGGTCTACTTAATCTTTAATTACTCAAAGACTTAGGAAAAAATCTATATTTCCATTACTAAGGCTCGGGACGCAATGCTTCAAAAACGAATTAAAACGGACAACAATTCGGCTTACGCGATTAAACCGAAAATTCAAACGTCTATCGATAAATAAAATCGAACGAGCTATATAATCATATTATCCAAATAATAATATAATATATAATCACACAATCAAGTCATATAAATAATAAAATAAAATTTCATTTATTAAAATAAACTCGAAAAAATCTAATATTCGAACGGGGCGTTACAACTTCGGTCTTGCGATTGGAAACAATTGGATATTGATTTATCGAGTTAGAGTTTTGTTGATTCTAAATGATTAGTTGATTAAACCTCTTCTAATTTAATTAGCGACTTTTAGAACCGAAATGGAAGGAGTCGTAGAACTAGGCTCGCACGAGATAGACGATTTCGTAATTGAATAGTCTATAGGTTTTGGATTGAAGTACACGCTTGTTGATGTCCCTTCCCTTGTTACAAAAAGTTATTGGGATTGGGTAATTGGCCGGTGTTGTATGTTCGAACTTGTTCGTCTATGTTCAATCCCTTGTTATGAAGAGTTATTGGGAGCGAACCGCTAGATGTCTAGACGAGAGTGTCAATCTCGAAACGAACGATTAATTTCCCTGTTTTGCGAATAGAACTCGAATTAATTATCCCCGAATCCCTAGCTTCTTAATCATTGTGTCGTTTATATTTTTAGGTAGATTTATGTTTTATGTTATTCCTTAGTTAATAATTCATTCATACCCTATCTTGATTAGAATGTTTAAGATTTATTTTTCGTTTATGTGTTATCAACACCACTTCTAGATTCCGAACCGCCTTCTTCGAGAGATCGACCCGGGAAACGAATCATTTTATTTGGTCCTTGGTAAATAACATAATTTGCTACAACAGAAAGTTGTAAATTAGCCGAATTTTTATTATTTCTAAGTCGTGTTCAAGTACAAGACATCGGTTATCTGCGGAACCCAGCTGCTTTATATGTAAATTTAATGTGTCCCAAGAAGATCCTCGGACAGAAATAAATGATTCTATTTATAGTAATCCCAAGCTCGCTACCCGAGGCTGGTTCGGCGGCATTAAATGCGATTTAACGGTCTAGGGGTAGTTGGCCTGCAGGCGGCCCCACAAGTAATGATGACAGTATGGGAGGTTGAAAGACAGGAGTCCCATCGACATCTGATCCTCTGGCCTGATCTCGATTTCACAGGGAGGTCGGTCTTTCGTCCATCGATGAGGTCAGTTTCTCTTCCACTTTGCGTTGAGGTCTTCGGAGTCGGGTTCCCCATCTGATATTTTACACAAAATCGGACCAGCCTATTGTTTGCCACGTGGCTTCTCCTGACTAGGTCGGTTGTCAACAGCTATTTGCTCGCAATGTTTTTCTCTTTTTCTTTTTTTTTTTCAAAAAATGCAACGTAGTTTTATATATTTAGCGTTTTTCCCGAAAAGCTTACGCGAGATGCTGAAATAGCACGCTATTTTGCACTATTTCACACTATTTTGCGCTACTTTGCAGTATATTCCCGCAACGACATTTAAACAATAAAATATTTAAAAAACTTGTATTTTTAGGAATTAGAGTTATATTTTTAAATGATAAAACCAAAAATTTGGATAATGATTTCAAACTAAAAGTTTGAAAATACAAAGTTCTAAGTTGAATAGTGCAATATATATTGGTTCAGGTCTATTATATCATTATATTTTTAGTTATTTGGCATTTAAATTTAAAAATAAAAGCTCAGATCTAGTGGTTAGAATTAAATTGAAAAAAAATTAATTCCAATGTATATGCTTAGAATTAAATTATGACTTATCTTATTATATGTCGTTGTTTGTTTTTACTTTTTAGTATATTTGCTTTGTTATTTAAATATTTATATTATGATATTTACATTAAATTTGTAAGGAATAATTCTTAGATGTTATTTTGAGTTCATTCAAATGCTATGATAATTTTTAGAATCAACCAGTTTTATTACATGCAAGTTTATATATAATATTTCCACAAAAATAATTTTTATACTCAAATAGTTTATGCAACACACAACGCTATTTACACTACTTAGCATAAAGACTAAAACGCGACCGTTTTAAAAATTAAAACGCTGGCAATACATGAGTTGTTTTGCACAAGAAAAATATTGCAATAAATTGTACTCACGTATTGCAGAAGAAAAACACTGCAATAAATTACAAAACTACCTTTGATGATTAATTAGATAACCGAATAAAGTTGGGTTTACATGTAGGAAAATGCTACAAATACATAATAATGGCATGATTGGTATAATGGAATAAAATTTGATAGGAATTGAATGAGTTGAAGAATGGAATGAATATGGGAATGGAATGGAACCAGTTTTTCTATTGATGTGTTTGGTATGCAGAAGAAATTAGACCGGAATGAAATGACAATATCAATCTATACTTGTATTTATGACTATTTTATATAAAAAAAATTAATATTTATATTAATGTTTTTTTTTATTTATGATCGTAATAATTTTTTTAAAAAAAAAAATATATTATATCTTAATAAATATATTTTTGTATTTTTACAAACATATATATTATATAATAAATTAGTGAAATGTGTATTCATATACATATTAGCAAATACAAATATAGCATTACATAAATCCCTATAAGCATATGTAGTCGAATATAATTTTTTATATTATAATTCAATTTATGAATAAATTTATAATATATGACTTATAAAAATAAAATAATATCTTTTAAAATTATTTATAAATGCATATTTAGTTTTATTTTTATATAAGACGGTTTGGGCATGTGCGTAGCATAGACTTAGAAACATTATAATAAAAATGCAAATCAAAAGTGTGAGGGTAGACCTAAGAAAACTTGGACGAAAAATAATAAAAAATAATTTTACATATTTAAATTTGAACGTTGATGTGTGTTTTGATCGAGCACGATGGCGAGTCGGCGACATGCGATCCATATAGCCGACCTTACTTAGTGAGATTTTAACGGCTTGTTGTTGTTGTTGTTGTTGTTGTATAAGTATTTAATATATCTAATTAAAATATGAACAATAAATAAAAATAAGTTTTTAAATTTTTTATTTGAAATTTATTTTTTGGAATTATTTTATTTAATATAATTTAATCATAATTTATAGTATATATTATAAATTTATTTATTATTATTATTTGTAATTTTATTTTTTGAGAAAATGATTCCTACACATATGGGAATGAGTAAAACCTTGTATTTGATATGGAATGTCTAATCTCATGGAGATGGGTTTTGCAATTCCTGGAATGCTTCACTCCTTTCTAAAAAATATATCAATCATGGGATAAGAATGAATAAGGGAATGAACATTTCATTCTCATGTCATTCCCTCACACCAATCATGTCATAAATGTACATAGAGGTCTACATAACACTCACATTGAGTGGAGTCCACTTGATTTTTTAATTTTGGTAGGTCCTAATAAATGTGAGTGTTATGTACACCTCTATTTACAATATTATATACCTATAGCATTTCTTTTACATGTAACTGCTAAAATTTCCTCAACGTCATCTTCCCTCATAATACCCAAAGTTTCTTCAAATTGATACAAACAAGTGGAAAAGACAACTGAAAATCATAAAGCACATTGCAAACAGATAAAAGTAAGAGAGAGCAGCTACATCAAACATTTTGATTTGCAATACCTGGAAATAGTTAACATATTGATAGCATCATTTCAATGAAGTATCCAAGGAAATGACACTCACAATGAGTCATAGACACGCCCAGCCCATACAAGAAGATGACATTCACTACCAATCATTCTTACCAACTTGATAGGAATCACTTCTGATGAATCGAGCTAATCCAAAAAAATAATAATTATGATAAAACCCAAAAGGAATATGAAGAGAAAATATAATATAATTCCACATTTTATATTGGACAAGTCAGATCACTCATAGAAGCAAGTAATAAAATTTTGTTGGCAATGACTAATTCCAAACTCGGAATAACAAGTAAACCATACATAAGTGCGACAATGTCACAACTCACAAGTAAGACCGTAATATTTCTCATTCACAGCTATATAATCACTTCGTATATCATCTCCTAAAGGCAAACTGGACATTTGAAATTGAAAAGCAATCAGTGCAATAATTCATCAATAACGTGACGAAAGCCCTCTCCTCGTGTCGCCATTGCTCTGTGCGAACATTTTGTCCACTTTTGGCATACGACAATTTTGCTCAATTTCTCAAGTAAACACAACTTCCGCAAATAGGTATGAGAATATGGAAAAATATAACTTCCCAGTGAAGCATATCATCATGCAGAATGGACTCTAGGCCACTCGAAAAGCACTCATTCAAAATACCTTGACTTTATGATGCTCTATATTTTGTGTGCAGCTGCCTTAGCCCTAGGGCTCGTCAACCTCCGTGAGCTCATGCTGGCAGTTCTTAAAAGCTTGCGAAATTCGGATAAGCTGATCCTTCCATCTTTGTCGATATCTGCTTCTTCTAGAAGTGGGTCTATCGAGCCCTTTAAGCCAGTGTGCTGTGAAATGTGAATACAAAAATTACGAAGAAGCCACAGACAAGGTAATTCTGTCCCTTTTTTCCTTTTTTTTTAACATTTTTCTTTTTTTTTTTCTTTTTACCCCTGAGACATTTGGAGGATTAGGCTGTGTTTGGTTATAAGATAAGGCC